AACGGAACTGGTAACAAAAACGGCCCTGTCGTTTCCAGGGCCCACTAAGGGCCACACTCGCCACAGATGCGGGAGCAAGCCTGTGCCTCCATACGCCGGGCCGTCTGGCTCTGGTCGGCCTTGCGCCTCTCGGTCGGCACCACGGCGACACCGCGAGCCGTGGTTGGAAGCGCTCCTCTCTGGTCGACGGCTACGGCCGGACCGGGGTAGAAGTTCGAGGTCGGCTCGTGGAGGGCACCCTCGTGCTCCTCGTGGTTGTTGGATGTTCTTGTGCATCCTGGGGAGGGTACCCTTGGGTGTTCTGCGTGTTTTGGCCGGCAGAGGGTCAGAGGGTCTCAGCATTCTTGAAGGGTGCTGTTCTTGCCCAGGTCACACTGTATCCGTTCGTTCGATGACGACCATCCGCCTTACAACTGATGCGAATTCACGGTGCGCAAGCAGGGCCACTTGTTTTGGGTGAAATCCGTCCCAGGTCTGAGCGGTCGAGTTTGGACATCTGTTGGCCGCCGAACGAAGCACTGCCGGTGTGATAGGTCGAAGGGCCTGGCGCTCTTCCGGCGGCATGGTGAACTCCTGCTCCGTCGCGGTCGGCTGCCAGAGGCTTACCGCCTCGAGGCCTCGGATTGGAGCAGCTCGAAGGGTCTACTTGAAAATTTTGGAAGTGACGGTCTCCAAACTTTCTGGGGCTGCCAGGCTGTCAGCTAGGAGGTCCACCGATGAGCCCACCCACCACTTTCGTCATGGCTTCCCTGACCCAGGAGTTCCAGGATGTTGCTGTGCTCTGGCGGTCCTCGGCTTCTTCCGCTTGCAGTGCTCGACTGACTGACCCATCAAACTCTTCGACGACTTACAGCACCAATTGCTTGTGCTGGTAGCCGGGGCCATGGTTTTGTACAGCGGCCCCTAAGGCTGTCCTGGCACTGATCATGAGGCGTGCAAGCCCTTCGATCCCTTCAAGTTGTGGGGGTAGGTTTGGCAGGCTCCCTACTACCTGGGTGAAACATGTCTGCTCGTCTCTGTGGTCGGCCCGGATAACATTCATGAGTGTCTTTTGAACCAACTAACGGGAACCAGTCAACGATTCCAACTCGCTCTACAGTCGGACCTGGGTTGCAATATCGAGGCCCTCTTGGGGAGGATACCCTAATTTTTGTTCGTGTTTGTCGGATGTGCTTCAGCATCCTGGGGGAGTTTTTTTTCGACTGATCTTATGGTTTGGGGTATTTTGGCCGGCGGAGGGTCTCATGTTCTTGAAGGATGTTTTCCTTGGTCCAGCCACGTCTACATCCCGAGCAGCACCTGGCACCCACTTGATCTTGGGCACGGTTGCTCTCGGCTTGGTCGGCGCTTTGATCGGCATGTCCGTCCTGATATTGATGGAGCGCGCCGTGTCGCTCGCGAAATACTGATAGGTTCAAGGCCTCCCATATGTGGTTATCGCCGATGCATCGCCGATGCGGTTTGATGCGGGGGGCGATCTTCTCTACGCCGACGTCGCCGAATCATCGCCGACGTCGCCGCTGCATCGCCGACGCATCGACGATTCGGAGTCTTCTATAGGTGCTGTCCAGAGCTGCCAACCTGGCTTCGACTCCCGACTGCCTCTCCAAGACGGCCTAAAGGAACTCCAGGGCGGTGTTCGGTCTTGGCCCAAGACGTCACGTAGTTCGTGGGCCCCACGGGCCTCAGCGTACCGATGGGCTGGGACTCCTCCAGGATGGGCACCAGGAATGGCTTCCCGCATGTGAGTTTGGCCAACACGACTTGGGTTACCGAGAGGTTCTTGTCGAAACACAAGGAAACGAGGAAGTAGTCGATGGCGGTCGATGACTTCCTCAACTTGCACGCAGGTGAGGTAGGTGCGAGTAGCTCGAAACCAGTTCTGAGCGCAAAGTTAGAGTCAATCAGACGATGTGGCGATACATTGATACCCCCGTGATAACCATTTGATGCTTGACGGCATCATGGAAACTTGTTACCTTGGCACGATCTCTACGTTATAGTTGGTTCGACCGATACCATCGGCCAGATAGAGTGATATTGGTACCTAGAACCAGTGGTTTGTGACTTGGTTGTTCAAGAGAGACGGCAGTGCGCCCGCACGCTTGGCGCCTTTGCTTCCCGGCTCCTTCTCCTCATCCTCCTACTCCTCCTGCTGCTCCTCCTCCTGCTCCATAGCGAACCCGTCCTCTGGGGCTTGATTGGCCCACTGGTGGGAGAGTCTCCTCTTGCTCACCTGGAACGGGTACTGGAACTGGTACTGGTAGTGGCGATGCTGCTGCGACTGCGCCACCGCCACCTCCATCTGCTGTCACTGCCTGGTCAGGTTGTTGCTTGGGTGGTACATCTACCTCTGGTGCTGCTCTCGCTTGAGCCGGCTCCCATTCCTTCTGGAGCTGTCCCGAGAGAAATTTGATCGCGTTCTGAACTTCCTGCGATGGGGCCACTCCTGGTGGGAACTTGCTCTGAGCGCAGGACTCGAGCGATTGGGCCTGGCTGCACTCCTTGCTGGCTGACTCGGTGGCCACCCTGTGCTGGACCTCCACATGTGTCACCTCCGACTGGAGGCCCTCTGCGTTCTTCTGCTTCCTCTCGTCGTCCTCGGCAGGCTCGGTCAAGGTCTCCCGGGTCTTGCCGCGGCCGCCCCTCGCCGTGGAGAGCTGACCCTCGGCGGCCTCCCAGCAGATCCCATGGCTCGGAGGCCGAGCTCTTCGCCTCGGGCGCCCCGTCCCTGGGAGCCCGCAGCGTCGGGGCTCAAGAGACGGGGGGTCCATGCAGGCGGGGGTCCGCCAGGGCACCGGGTCCTGCAGGATCCGGCGGAGACCCCCTCTGGCCGGCCCGGGTTAGCGAGCCGCTCGTGGCCGCGAGGCGGCCGCGCATGTCGGCTGGCCCGGGCTTGCGAAGACCTGCGATGCAGTTTTTTGTTCTTGTATTGCAATTTTTTGGTTTCCTGCTGACCCGGGTATCCCCGAGCAGTGCCTTCCGCCTCCTTCCAGAGCCGGACCGCCGCTGCTCTGATGGCGATGGGGTCCTTCTCTCGGAGGAAGGAGAAGCGATACCAACACCACCAGGGGGCCCACCTCCAGCGAGGAGGTCCACGATGCCTCCCCGAGCTGGATGCTGGGGGTGTCTCGAGCGAGAGGGGGGGCCACACCACCAGGGAGACTCCCCTTGCCTCCTCGCACCTCCTCGCCCTGCTGGTGTTGGTGTCGCCTTTCCTTGTTCCCATTCTCGTCCACGGATCCTACGCCTCCCGCTCCTTGATGGGTCCTGCTTGCCGATGCGGGGCAGGCCGAGCGACGGCGCCATCGATCTGGGCTGCGGGCCGAAGCTGGCCCAGGGGAAGCTCCAACGGCCCAGGGAGGCAGCCCACGCGCGCTGTAGTGCTTGAGCGGCTCGTCAAGCCCATGTTCACCCTTTGCATCTGCCCATCTTGCGGCAGCTGTGACGTCGCCCCTGGCGTCGGTGCCTGCTGCTGTCGCCCACTGCGCCGAAAGGGCGGACGCTCCTGGGCGGACGCTCCTGCTGTCTGGGGGGCTGCTCAGCAGGGCTCGGGCGCGCAGAGGGCTGTGGCCCTGGGAGTTGACTGGTGCAGCAACCTCCCTGCCTCCCTTGGGCCAGAATTGCCTGAGCCAGGAGAGGCGGAGGAGGATAACGAGGAGTATCAGGAAGGAAGAGGATGTTGAGGAGGAGGAGGAGGAGGCACATACTTGGATATAAGACATGCCGGTGGAGGACGCGAGGGTGAGGGAGGTACGGTGGAGTTAGATGATGATGGTGATTTTGATGATGGTGATGATGATGTTGATGATGATGATGATGATGATGGTGCTGATGATTATGATGATGATAATGATGGTGGTGGTGGCGATGATGTGACGACGATGATGATGACGATGACGATGACGATACTGATCTTTATGCTGATGGTGCCGACGAGGATGCTGATGGTAATGATGATCAGGATGATCATGATTATGATGCTGATGACGATGATTATGACAATGCTGATGATGATGATGATGCTGATGATGATGATGATGATGATGATTATGATTACGAACATGATGCTCACAATAATGATGCAGATGATGTTGATGATTCTGATGACGACGATGGTGGTAACGATGCTGCTGTTGATGATGATGCTGGTTATGATTCTGACCATGTGGATGCCGATGATGGTTGTGGTCGTGGTTGTGGTTGTTGTGGTGATGATGCTGGTGATGATGGTGATGATGATGATGATGATGAGGAGAAGGAGGAGGAGGAGGAGGAGCAGGAGGAGGAGAGGAGATGATGGTGTTGATGATGATTTGGAGGATAAGGAGGAGAATGTGGGAATCAGTCAGAGGACGAGGAGTAGCTGGGACGAGAAGGAGGAACAGGGCAAGAAGGTGGAACAAGAAGCATAGGGGGGATGGGACGGGAGGTTAGAGCAGGGATGAATTGATGATTACGACGATTAGGATGATTTTGCTGATTTTGATGTTGCTGATGATGACGATGACGATGATCTTGTTGATGAGGATGCTGATGAAGATAATGAGTATGATGATATGATGGGGATGCTGATGCTGATGATGATGATAAGGATGATGATGCTGAGGAGGAGGATGAAGATGACAATAAGGTTTAGGATGCGGAGACGGATGAGTATGAGGATGAGGAGGATGAAGACGAGGATGAGGATGTGGATGTGGATGCGGACGATGACGACGATGATGACGATGATGCTGCTGATGATAATGCTGATGATGCTGATGATGGTGCTGATGATGATGATCAGGATAAGGATGAGGATGAGTATGATGATTTGGATGAAGATGATAATGATGATGATAATGAGGATGAGGATGAGGATGAAGATGAGGATGAAGCGGAGGAGGAGGAGGAGGAGGAGGAGGAGGAGGAGGAGGAGGAGGAGGAGGAGGTGCAGGAGGAGGAGGGGGAGGAGTAGCAGAAGGGAGGACAAGAGGGGGGAGGCCTTCGGCCTCCAGGTGACCCTGGTGCGCAGCGCCCTGGAGCTCCACCCCGCCGCCACGGTCGAGGACGTCCGGAGGGCGGCCGAGGACCGGCGGGAGGAGGAGGGGGGCTCCCCGTGCGCAGCCCGAGCTCTTGCCAGGCCGGAGAGGGGCGGAGGGGGCAGAAGGAGCTTCCCCATGAAACGCTGGTTTTCCATGTGTGCGATCAATCAAATGGTGTACACGTGTATGCATGTGTGTATGTATGTATGTATGTATGTCTCTCTTTCTCTCCCCCTCTTTCTCTCATTTGTTTTCTCTTTCTATTTCTCTTTCTCTCTCCTTCTCTCTCTCCCTATGTATATCTCAGAGTGGGGGTGCCGAACGGTATTGCCTCTGGGTGCGCGGCTGAAGCGGGACCCGGTCAGTGGCAGGGCCCCAGAGCCCCGAAATTGGCCAGACTCACCAAACCAGGCCTGCCGTCGCTGCTGTTTTTTTCGGGTGGCGGCAGCTCCGGTTAGTGGAGCGGGGCCTGGGGGGCGCCCCCCAGTACTAAACCAGGCCCCAAAGCCAGTTCTGCCAACGCCCGACATGAGCGCAGTGGCGAGCCCATGGAGTAATACGGCCGCGCCCGTGCTGAATGCAGCCGCGGCGATGCCATTGAAACAGGAGGGGGGGTTCTCGGAGAGGTGAGGCCAGGAAGGCGAGAGAGGAGGGAGGCCGAGGAGAGAGAAGCGAAGGGTGGAAGAGGGAGATTGGGAGGCAGGGAGGGAGCAGGGAGTGAGGGACTGAAGGAGGTGAGAGGAGGAGTTGAAGCAGAGGCGATAAGGGATGGAGGGAGGAAGAAGAACGGGGCAGGAAGGGCAGCAGTAGGTTGAGAGGAGGGAGATGGCGGGAGGGAGGGAATGGAAGGGTGGGGTGGCGGATGCTGCAGTACATTTTCCCGTGCGCAGTATGTTCCAACATCATAAGGTCTACAACCATGTTTTCTCGCTGCGTAGAAAACCATACCGAAATACGAGCGCTCCGTGAGCTTGATATTGGGTGAGAGCCAGCTTTTGAACACAACCCGTCCTCCATTACTCTAGCTATCAAAGACGCCTACGGCGAATCACCGCCGCCACCTGCCTTTGGGGGGAGTTCCTATGTGGCCAAGAGTTGGGCTAGAGCTTGGCCAAGCTGTCGGACCATGAATTCCCCAAGTCGGTTTGGACAGCTTTCGGGGAACACGTGGGGGAGAATGAACATGAAGAGGAAGAGGAAGAGGAAGAGTAGGAGGATGAGGCTTCTTGGGGGTTTCTTGGGCCACCCTTGGAGCCTGCTGTGAGCTTCTTGGGGGCCTCTTCAAGGCCTCTTTGGGGCTTCTTGGGGGCTTCTCGGGGGGCTCTTTGGCAGTCTTGGGGCGTTCCTGGCCCGTCTGACGCCGTCGGAAGTCGTCTTGGGGCCCTCTCTGGGCCGTCTTGGGGCCCTCTTGGGGCGCTTGAGGGCCGTCTTGGAGACTATCCTTGGGCGTCTGGGAGGCTTCTTGGGCCGTCTTGGGACCCTCTTGCGGCCGTCATGGGGGCCTCTTGGGCCATCTCCGGGCCATCTTGGAGGGCTCTTGGACGATCTTGGGGGCCCCTTGGGCCGTCTTGGGCCGACGGAAAGCCCAAAACGCGCAAAAACCGAAACCCTTAAAAACCTACGGACAGTCAATGATTTTGGCTTCTTCGAGCCTTCCTGGAGGACCTCTTGGAGGCCTCTTGAGCGCATTGGAGGCCTCTTGGGGGCCTCTTGGCCCATCTTGGAGGCATCTTGGGGCCATCTTGGAGGCATCTTGGAGCAATCTTACCCGTCTTGGAGGCCATCTTGGTCGTCTTAGACTCATCTTGGAGGCCATCTTGGGCATTCTTGGCCGTCTTGGACGCGACAGGGGGAACCACCCGGGCATTTTCGGCAACCTTTCGGGTGGCCGTCGGGACGGGCCGAAGCCCCAGGGGGAGTTCCTTTGGAAAAATAAGCTAAGGCAAGACCGAAAGGGTTCGGCACGCCGGGCACCCCTGTGATGAATCAACAGGGGGCGGCGGACCTAGTGGCCTTCGGCCCAGCCCGCCACCGTGCCTAGATTGCGGTCCATAGGAGTCCATAGGCCTCATCATATTCCTCGTAGGGTCTCTTGGGAAGCATATTTAAGGCCTCGTTCGGCCCTCCTTAGGGTCTCCTGGAGGTCTCTTGGGGGCCTCTTGGGGTCCAGGGCTCCACATGCAAACTTGGGCTTCCCCTCGTGGGCCTCTCCTGGGGTCTTGGCACCGCATAGCTTGCACCGCCCAGCTTGCACGGCATATTAAACAACATAGCTCCCACTACAAGCTCACACAGCATAGTTTACGCCATATAGCTTGCACCACAGACTGTGCCTTGCTCGATACGCCTATTTGTACATGGCAGCGCGTAGCTTACCTTGTAATTCGTTCCACATAGACTGCGCCGCTCTCGATACCTGTAGCTGTTCAACTTACCTGTTTGAAGCATATCCCTATCCCTATGTTTGACATCACATCTCCTCGATGTCGATCTTAAGGATTCCCTCAGTTTCTGAGGGCCTTCTCCTAAGATTGTCCTCGCTTTTTGCTCGCCCATCTTGGGGATAGGGATACGTTCGAGGCTGGTTATCAACGACTATACACTGCGAGTTTCCTTACTTTTGATATCCAAGGCGCGAGCCAGTTTTGAAAAAGGAGCGCCCTCCCTCCGTGCCGTCGGGTCGGGGATCTGCGAAGAGCGTGCGCGGTGCCAGTGCGGGAGTGCCCTTTCGAGAAGGAGCCGCCCCCCATCCGGCGTGCATCGGATCGGATTCGACGCGCATCGGCGTGGGATGCTCGAATCCAGGCGGTTCTCCGAAGGTAGTTTCACATCTAGTCGGGCATGCGCCTTCGTCCATCGGTGCGGAATCCTTCGTGCCCTGCCGCACGGGTATAGCCCCCTTGAGGGGAAGCGGATTTGCCCGTGGACGGGCTCTCTCTTTTTTTGGGGAAAAAAAGGAGCCGCCCCCCATCCGTGTAAGTTCTGGATTCGTTCAGGACTTCACGTGCGCGGCGCTACAGCGGAAACCCAATGCTGAACACGATTCGCCCTCTGTCCGCGGAAGTGTTTCTACTGACGGTTATGTGCGTTGCCACGGCGAGAGTTCCATGTTGGAAACGATCCGCCATCCGCCCGTGTAGTTGTTCGATATTCCCAGTCTCAGAATGGTAGACGGCGAGGGATTTCGTGCGCAACGCCCAGCCCGCCCTGACGGCGCGTTGGGTTGTGCGACGCGGAGAAGCTTCTCGGGAAGAGGGGTGACTATGCTGATACGGAGGATGGAGAGACGCTGTTCGGAGGACGGCGGAGGAGGGACAGCGAGGAGGGAGGTGCAGGAGAGAAGGAGGGCCTCCTTAGGGGCCTCCTGGGGCCCGCTGCTCCCCCCCGAGCTCTCCAGAGATCTCCAGAGGCCTCTGCTGCCGAGCCTGCCAGAGGCCCACCAGCAAGGCCCACGTCGTCCGACGACCTCCGCTCTGCTGTGAGCGACACCGGTCAGGGCATCTGTGTCAGCAGCGGAGCCCGCCGTGCCCGTTGCGCGGCACGGCTTCCGCCTCCACGGTTGCCTCGGCTGCACGGAATTCGAGAGGAAAGCGTCTGCGATCCTCGATCCCCCCAAGATAGGCGATCGGCAAGTTCCCGAGGCGCTCAAAGACCTCTGGAGGCCGGCGGAGCCCTCCGCAGGCTCGAAAGCAAGGCAGGCAGCGTCCGACCCCTTCGCTCCTCGATCCCAGGCGGGCCAACGCAAGCTGGCCCTCGCTCCTCCACTCCCGCGCCTCGAGCCTCCCAGGAGGCGCTCGGCAAGTTCAACGCCGCGGTTGCGGGGGAGGGCGCCAAAACCGTCGACCTCACCTCTGCCACAAACAGATATCCGCACAGACACCCTCCACTGGATTGTTCCCGGGCCTCGGGGGAGGGTGGCGGTGTGGAGATCGCCACTGGGAGCCAGCGACTTGATACACCGACGCTCTCCCTGGGGGGCATTTGCACAATTCGGCGGAGGGTGTCTCTGTGCATATGGTCTGGTTAGCGGGCGGATAATGGTATAAACTAAACGTTTCCGTCAAACTTGCATATTTTCCGTCACCAGGGGCGTTGCTCCAGGGCGGCTCGAAAGTTCATACCTTGACGCGCCCCCGAAATGTTTGAACTTTCCAGCCGCCCTGGGACAGGCGCCCCCGACAGCGAAAAAGTTCATGTTATACCTTTCTTCGCCTGTGATCACCGATCTCTTGGCCAGGCCGATGGTCTTCTGGGGCCAAGCTCAGCGCGTTTGTGTGCGTCCCTGGCCACGGGAGGCGAGGGGTGTGCTCGCGCACCAGATCACGGTGTCCAGCGCCGATCCAAGAGATTCGCCCTTAGCACCGCAGAAATATGTTTTTGCCGTCTCAACGACATTCGCCGCCCACCATGCACACCGCCCCAGCCCAGCCCGAAGGCCCCGATGGGCCGTCCGTTTCAAGGGGGGGGGGGGGTCGGGGAACATTGAACAAAAACACGTGTGGAACCCGTACCCCCTCCAACCCGAAATGCTGGTCTTCGGGTCAGCTTGGGGTGGTCTGATAGGCAGTCAAAAATGACGTCGAAGGGTTTGGGCAATCTTCGCGGCCTCCGGGGGCCCTCGGCGGGCCCCAGGACTGTCAACAAAAGGATTCAGGATGAAAGTCTGGTCCCTGGAAGTCCACGTCGTGACATCTGCCTGGTGGAGAACCCAGCCATCTGCGGCAAGCAGTGCCGCAAGACAGGTGGAAACTCCGGGAGGGGGCCAGCAGAATGACGCAAGGCGTGCGTGAGAAGGGCAGAGTGACGTTGCTGATGCGGTCGCACGGGTCAGCCGCAGCGGGTTACACTCAGGAGGGGAAACAACACACAGACACAATTCGTCGTCGACTCCAGGGAAAATAGGGGAGACTATGGGAAGTGTGGGGGGGGGGAAGACAAAAACCCAGAACATCTGGGAAATGATGGGCAGCCCGCCACGGCCGAGTCGGGCGCCGGTCGGCCCGGCCTCGGGGTGCAGCAGGGCGCGGTCTGGGGAGCAGCAGGCGGCGGGGCCCTCGGTGGAGCTCCGGCAGGGCCACGAAGCGTGCGAGGGGTGTGAAATGTGCGTGGTCACGCATGCTCCTCCTCCTCCTCCTCCTCCTCCTCCTCCTCCTCCTCCTCCTCCGCCTCCGCCTCCGCCTCCGCCTCCGCTTCCTCCTCCTCTTCCTCCTCCTCCTCCTCCTCCTTTCCCCCCTCCAACTTCTGGTGGTGGTGGTGGAAAGCAGGCCCATCAGGGGGCGGAGAGGGGCGGAGCTCCCCAGGTCTAGGTCGCCGCGTCACGTGCGGCGAGCGTGCCGAAATGGGCGCTGGCGCCCCTGCGATTCCCGCCGCCGGGGCCTGCGGCGGAGGTTCTTGTGGGGCCACGAAGCGTGCGACGGGTGTGCCGAAATGGGCACGGTCACGCATGCCATTCCTGCCACCAGTGCCTTAGGTGGAGCTTCCTATGGGGCCACGTGTGAGGGGCGTGCCGATATGGGCGCCGTCACGCATACGATTCCTGCCATTGGGGCCTTCGCTGCAGCTCCCCAAAGGGCCACGAAGTGCGTGTGGGATATGCCGGAATGGGCTGGAGAAGGTATGCGAAGGCAGCCACTGGGGCTTTAGTCAGAGCTCCCTATGGGGCCACGAAACGTGTGAGGGGTGTGCAGGCTAATTCGGGCGCAAGGGCCTTCGGAGGCGCCCCCTGTGGGGCCACGAAACGCGTGAGGGGTGCGCCAAGGCTTAGGGTGGCGGCGGCAATCGAACGCGGCCACGGAGGGAGCTCCCTATTGGGCCACGAAGCGTATGAGGGGAGGGCGGCGGCATGCAAACGCAGCCACTGGGGCCCTAGGCGGAGCTCCTGATGGGGCCATGAAATATGTGATGGGGTGCGCCAAAATGGTGGGGTGGCGGCGGCATGCGAACGCAGCCTCTGGGACCTTAGGCAGAGCTCCCAATGGCGCCACGAAGTGTGTGATGGGGTGCGCCAAAGTTGGGTGGAGAACGCATGCGAACGCAGCCACAAAGGCCTTAGGCGGAGCTCCGTCTGGGGCCACGAAACGTGTGAGGGGTGCGCCGAAGAGGGGTGGCGAAGGCATGCGAACGCAGGCACTGGGGCGTTAGGCGGAGCTCCCAATGGCGCCACGAAGCGTGTGATGGGTTGCGCCCAAATGGTGGGGTGGCGGCGGCATGAGATCGCAGCCACAAGGGCCTTAGGCGGAGCTTCCTTCTGGGGCCACGAAACGTGTGAGGAATGCGCCAAGGTGTGGGGTGGTGGCGGCATGCGAATGCAGCTACTGGCTCGGCGGAGCTTCCTTCTGGGGCCACGAAACGTGTAATGGGGTGCGCCAAAGTGAGGTGGCAGCGGCATTCGAACGCAGCCACTCGTGCCTTAGGCGGAGCTCCCTATGGGGCCACGAAACGGGTGAGGGGTGCGCCGAAGTGGGGTGGCGAAGGCATGCGAACGCAGCCACTGGGGCGTTGGGCGGAGCTCCCTACGGCGTCACGAAGCGTGTGATGGGATGCGCCAAAATGGTGGGATGGCGGCGGCATGCGAATGCAGCCACTGGGGCCTCAGGCGGAGCAGCTACTGGTTAGGCGAAGCTCCTTATGGGGCCACGAAACATGTTTGGGGGGCGCCAAAATTGTGAGGTGGCGGCGTTCCAGCGCAGCCACTGGGGCCTTAGGTGGAGCTCCCTAAGGGACCGCGATACTGTGAGTGATGCGCCAGAATGTGAGGTGGCGGCATGCGAACGCAGCCTCTGGGGCCTTAGGTGGAGCTCTCTATGGGACCACGAAACTGTGAGGGGTGCTCCGGAATTGTGAAGTGGCGGCATGCGAACGCAGCCACTGAAGCCTTAGGTGGAGCTCCTGTTGGGGCCACGAAGCGATGGCACTGGCGATGCTGCTGCTGCTGCTGCTGATGATCATCTTTCAGATTATGATGATGATGATGACGACGATAATGATGATGATGATGCTGATGGTGATCGTGCTGGTGATGCTGATGAGGATGAGGATTATGCTGATGCTGAGGCTCAGGCTGAGACTGACGCTGATGCTGATGCTGCTGATGATGACGATGATGACGGTGATGGTTATAGTGATTGTGATGGTGGTGATGGTGATGGTGATGGTGATGATGACGATGCTGATGATGATGGTGATCCTATTGGTGATGGTGATGATGCTATTTCTGAAGATGAGCAGGATAATGATGATGCTGATGGTGCTGCTGATGCTGATGCTGCTGCTGATGATGATGATGACAGTGATCATGATGATGGTGCTGATGCTGCTGCTGCTGATGATGATGATGGTTCTGATGATGATGGTGATCATGATAACGGTGGCACGAAGATGGCGCTGGCGATGCTGGTGATGATGATGACGATGCTGATGCCGATGCTGATGCTGATGCTGATGCTGACGAGGATTAGGGTAAGGCTGAAGATGATGCTGATGAGGATGAGAATGAGGTTGATGTTGATACTGCTGCTGATGATGTTGCTGTTGATGATGGTGGTGATGATGCTGCTGCAGATGATGATGCTGGTGATGATGATGATGATGATGATGGTCATGATGATGGTGATGGTGGTGGTGGTGGCAATGACGCTGCTGCTGATGATGATGGCCACGACGACGATGATGAAGATGATGATGATGATGATGATGATGATGTTGCCGATGATGATGATTATGATGATGATGGTGGTGGTGATGATGCTGATGATGACGCTGATGGTGATTCTGATGATGGTGATGATGACGACGATGATGATGGTGGTGGTGGGTGATGCTGGTAGTCATGATGCTGCTGCTGATGATGCTCATGACGACGACGACTATCGATGTTGCTGATGATGGTTATAGGTGGTGGTGGTGATAATGATTATCCACATGGTGGCTATGATTATGATGATGATGGTTATGATGATGATGCTGGTGGTGATGATGATTCTGCTGATGATGGTGATGGTGATGGTGGTGATGATGATGATGATGCTGATGATGATGATGATGATGATGATGATGATGATGCTGATGATGATGATGATGATGATGGTGATGGTGATGGTGATGGTGATGGTGATGATGATGATGAGGAGGAGGAGGAGGGAGAGGAGGAGGGAGGAGGAGGAGGAGGAGGAGGTGGAGGAGGAGGAGGAGGCGGGAGGAGGAGGAGGAGGGGAGGAGGAGGCGGAGGCGGAGGGGGAGGAGGAGGGGGAGGCGGAGGAGGGACGACGACGACGACGAGGAGGAGGTTGGCGGAGACAGGCTCGGCGGCGCGCCGAGGGGCGGAGCGAGCATGGGCAGGCCCACGGCTGGCGGGCGGCGGGGCTCCCGGAGGGGGGCTGCTCGGGCAGCTGCTCGGAGGGCGGGCCCTCCTTCGCATAGGGGGCGGCAAAGAAGAGGAGGAGGAAGAGGAGGAGGAGGAGGAGGAGGAGGAGGAGGAGGAGGAGGAGGAGGAGGAGGAGGAGGAGGAGGAGGGGGGGGAGGAGGAGGAGGACGAGGAGGAGGAGGAGGAGGAGGAGGAGGGGGGGGAGGAGGAGGGGAGGGGGAGGCAAGCTAGGTGCGCTCGCGTCATATCTGACGTCCTACCCCTCCCTCCCATCCCTTACCATGGCGCTGATTTTCTCTATCCGCGGACGCGTGTCGTAGCGGACCTGTGGCTCCGCGCGCGCGTGCGTAGTGGGTGGTGGTGCACGTGCGTGCGTGCGTGCGTGTGTGCGTGGTTGTCGTGGTGGTGGTGGTGGTGGTGGTGGTGGTGGTGGTGGTGGTGGTGGTGGTGGTGGTGGTGGTGGTGGTGGTGGTGGTGGTGGTGGTGGTGGTGGGTGTGTGGTGGTGGTGGTGGTGGTGGTGGTGGTGGTGGTGGTGGTGGTGGTGGTGGTGGTGGTGGTGGTGGTGGGTACTGGTGCTGGTGCTGTGGTTGTGGTGGTGGTGGTGGTGGTGGTGGTGGTGCTGGTGGTGGTGGTGCTGGTGGTGGTGTGTGGTGGTGGTGGTGGTGGTGGTGGTGCGGCGGCGCGGTGGTGGCGGGCGGATGGGCGCGCGAGAAAAGGCCCGCGCTGGGGCGAGAACGCCATCCTGAACGACGGAGGCCAAACACCGATCCGAGAATGAGGCCCACGCTGCAGCGGGAGCACGATTCGGAACGATTCGGGAGCAGAAATGAGGCCGGCGCCTCAACGAGAGCAGCATTTTGGGAAAAAATGACGCCGGCGCCTCAGCGAGAGTCGTTTCCCGGGATTTCCCGGAATCTGTGTAAAAAACAGTACGCGGAGGGTGCGCGGCCATCACCCGGACGCCATCAGGGGAAGAGGGAGAGTATTTTCATATTGAGTAATTGTGGAGGGGGAGGAGGAGGGGGAGGGAGAGGAGGGAGGAGGAGGAGGAGGAGGAGGAGGAGGAGGAGGAGGAGGAGGAGGAGGAGGAGGAGGAGGAGGGGATAGGCTCCGGAGGGGGCGCATCGACCCCCAAACGTCGGGGGCGGCAAAGAGGGGGGTGATGACTAGGGCGGGGTGGATATCATGGCGGGGGCCATGATGTTTCCCCAGATTTCAGGGCGCCTCTTCTTATGTCATTGCGTCCCTGGCCCCCCCCGCTGGGCCGCGCACATGCCGCCGGTCATGATTTGCACTCCCTCCCTCTTGGACACCCCCCTCTTGGCCGCTCCCGATTCGCGTAGGGGATCGGCTGCGGAATTTTCAAGCAGTGGCGAGGCGTCCTGGCTCGCCTACAGCCCTACCAAGCAGTGCTCTGAGAGCCCGTTGTGGTTTCCACGAGCTGTTCTTAGAGCATTTCTGGTTGGGACTGGCTTGTGCCAACACATCGGGCCTACGTTCTAAGAACATCTTTGTGGTTCTCAGAACATTTTTTGTGGGTTCTGAGGACATTTTGAGGTAGGACTATAGGAATGCCGGGACGGTCGGTCCCTGTTCAAAAAATTGTCTTACCTAGCATTTAGCTTTTCGCCCAGTCTACAGACAATCTGAGACGGTTCCACGTATGCGTCGCAGATTCGGTGGGACAAATGAATTTGGGGGTAGGTCAATGCTGTAGTCGATGCCCTGCTCGACTCCTGAGGCTTCTGATGAGACTTTGAGCCCACAGATCCGACGCTCCCCCCCCAAAAACTGGAGCGGGCGGTGTTTGGCTGTTTTCGGCCTCTGGGGGCCCTCGCCGGGCCTCGGGAGCGTCAACGAACGACTCGTTGCGAAAAGCTGGCCCTGGGGAAGTGGTCCAGACCTCCGGGGCCCACGCATCAAAACAATCGGAGCAGCCGGATGTCTGTGTTCTGACGAGACTTTGATGCCCGCCCTCGGAGGAGGAACAGGCACCGATACCTGCTCCTCCTCTGGATGGGACTGCGCTTAGAAAACTCAGGATTCGCTATAGGGATTGGTTTCCCCCCAAAAGCGATGACAACCCTTCCAAACCCCCCTCCCCCGGAACCCGCCGAAAAGCCTCCCGGAACCTTTCCCGGAGGGTTTTCGGAGGGTGTCGGGAGGGCTGCGGCGATTTGAAAGGACACCAGTCACTAATCTGGACGCCCGAAATGGGTACGGAAAGAATGGGTACAATGCCCAACAGCAGTTCCTGATCCTTTTGAACAGGACTCGCTGTCCGCGCCGCCGCGGCCTGTCTCCATTTGAAACAGAAGGCCGCCTGCCCAACAGCGGCCGCTGTTGGTTTGGGACAACATGTGCTGTTGGGCATTGTACCCATTTTTTCCGCACCCATTTCGGGCGTCCAAAGCCTAGGGCCTAAGAAGAGGTACCGACACCGCTGCCCTTTCGTTTTCCCCGTGCTGGGCCCTCCCGGGAGGCCCTCGTCGTCATGGCTGGATTCGCCTCGCAAGTCTGGTCAGAACGCACCCCTGGAGAGGGGCAGTCCTGCAGGCCCACTCTCCTTCTCGCTGCCTCCTTCCTCCTCCCTCCTTCCTCCTCCTCCCTCCTCCTCCTCCTCCTCCTCCTCCTCCTCATCATCATCATCATCATCATCATCAACAACATCATCATCATCATCATCATTCCTCCTCTTTCCTAGCCCTTCCTCCTCTTTCCTCCTTTTTTCCTCTCTCATTCTCCCCAACGCTAACTGCCCTATTGCCTCCCTTCCGAGGGCACGTTCTGTTCCCGCTGGGTCGTGACCTCCGGAGGTCCCCAGACGCCAAGGGCCAACAATGTCCGAAACCAGTTCCCCATCGACCTCGAGGGTCGTGGGCAAAACTTGGCGGCCCCTCGCTTCTTGCTGCTCCCCCCTGGCCCCGAGCTCTGATGCTGCATGTTTGTTGCAGCGCGGACCCCTCGGAGGTCTGGACCCCTTCCCCAGGACTGGCCGTTCAATCCCGAGGCGTTTTCTGACGGCCCCAAGTGTCTGGTCCATTCGAAGACCCCACGAAGTCGGTGATATGGGGTCGACATACCCCCTGTTATGCGGCCCCCAGGGGGTTATTCGGACGCTCCCGCATCGAGGGTGGATGCCCCCCGTCGTATGCCCCCGAGCTGGGCCCCAAATGTTTGGTCCACTCGAAAACCCCGCGAAGTCGGTGACAGGGGTCGACACAATGCTTGCTAGACGGGCCCCAGGGGGATATTCGGACGCACCCACATCGAGGAAGGGTGCCCCCCGTGGTAAATTCCCGAGCTGGGCCCTACATTTTTGGTCCAGTCGAGAACTCCACGAAGTCGGGGAGAAGGGTCGACATAAAACCCGTCCGACGTCCCCCGAGGTTGGCGACCTCCGATCCTTGACCGCCGTGGCCACCACCGCCGTGGCGAGCGCCTTCGAGCTCTCCGAGCGGTCGAGCTCCGCGCCCGCCATCGGGGACGAGGCCCCCCCGCCGACCCAGATCTCCGACGTCTTGTTGTGTGTTGGTGGTTGTTGGTTTCTGTTGTTTGTTCATGTGTTGTGTTAAGTTTGCATGTTTGCTTGCTTGTCTGTCTGTCTGTGTGTCTGTCTGCCTGTCTGTCTGTTTGTTTGTTTGTGTGTTTTCCGTGTTTGTTGTTAAGGTGTTTGTTCGTTTGATTATTATGTGTCTGTTTGTGTGTTTGTTAGTGTGTTTGTTTGTGTGTGTTCTTGTTGCTTGCTTGTTTGTTTGTTTGTTTGTTTGTTTGTTTGTTCATTTGTTTGGTTTTGTTGGTTGGACGGTTGTTTGCTTGTTTTCTCTTCCGAATTGTGTTGGGGTTCTCGTTGGTTCCTGGAGGCTTTCTCGTCTCGGGATGCTTTCCCCCTGTTGCGCCTCGCCGAGAGCATTCCAGGGGTGCCAGATTCGTCCCAGACGGCCACCGCAGATTTCCTACGATTCCATTATTGTTATTGTTCGGGGCTCAAGAGACGGGGGTCAATGCAAACCGGGGTCAGCCAGAGAGCCGGATGTGGCAGGATTCTGCATCGCCAGGGGTTCACTGACCTGGGCTTGGGTGCAGGATCCTGAAGGACCCTGCAGGATCTTGCAGGATCCTGCGCAGCCCGACTGACTCAGGTCTGGCTTGACCCGGGTCAGAATCATCGTCGTGTTGCTAACGTTTGTCGGTCCCGGCATCTTTCCTCGATGTCGGCCGCTCTCGGCCCCCCCGGCCACCAAGGATGGATCCAGAGCGACATGTGGCCCTTTCGGGCAGGGTGCGGGGCGCGGGACCTCCGTGCGGGACGAGGCTTGAACAGATCCCGGTCGGATGTCTGGCGACGACGACGACGATGGCGACGACGGCGACGACGACGACGACGACGGCGGCGGCGGCGGCGGCGGCGGCGACGACGACGACACCGGCGGCGGCGAAGCGGACGAGCCCTACTCTCTAAGAGCAAGAGACGGCGTAAGCATAAATCTTTGGAGCTCCGCGCAGATTTTCTGGATCGACGCTAAACTGCACCCTGCCGCGCGGAGCGCGCCAGGGGCGGCGCCGGAAAACGCTTCCAGAGGGGGCCCAGCGCAGATCCAAGAAATCCGCGCGGATCTCTCACAGTTTATGTTTATTCATTTTTGTTCGTCCTCTATTCTCTCCCACTCCTGCGGGCAATGTCCATCTCCACAACCAGTGCGTCTTGGAGTTTCGGGCACTCTTCCCCCAAAACACGAGGCGCACTGGATATGTATTAAAATCTGGCTCCAAAAGCTAGATTTTATCCATATCCAGAGCGCCTCGGCCTTGCGGCGCCCCTTCCAAGAAAGTCGTAGACGCTCTGGATATGGATATAAGTATTGCCCGCATCTCCTAGCTGAGGAGTTTCAACCCACTGCGAGGGCGCGATTGCATGTACGGGGGCCGCATGCACGGCCCTCCTTCGCTCACTTCTGGCGGGCAGCGTCGCAAGAGCACCTTGCACCCCAACAAGGAAGAACCCTCGTCCTCCGAGGCTGTGATTTTAGCTCAGCCCGCCTTGGCTCGAGGCGGCGCCTTGTCCAGAAGCGTGCGCTGACCAAGCTTGCTGCTCTGGGGCATGTGCCTGTGGTGAGGGGTCCTCCGACGACTGGCGGGCGCTGCGCCGAATTCTGTCTGAGCACTCGTCGGCGGAGGCAATTTTCTGAGCTTTTTGGTGGCCGCGGGCGCAGCCAGAGCGCGGCTCGGCGCTATCGCGCCCGAGACCCGGATGCACCGATCAGGGTACGCCTCGGCGGACTCCCTCTCGGTGGGCTGCTCTCAATCGTCATCCTCCTCCTCCTCCTCCTCCCTCTCCTCCTCCTCCTCCTCCTCCTCCTCCTCCTCCTCCTCCTCCTCCTCCTCCTCCTCGTCCTTCTCCTCCTCGTCCTCCTCCTCCTCGTCCTTCTCCTCCTCCTCCTCCTCCTCCTCCTGCTTCCTCTCCTCCTCCTCCTTCTCCTCCTCCTCCTCCTCCTCCTCCTCACTCCTCCTCCCCCTCGCGCACTGGCGGCGGACACGGGTCTATCCGCTGAAGCCGACCAGCACGCCCGCGGTCGCTGCCGACGGAACCTGCGCCCGCGTGCGCACGCAAACACGACTCGTTACGCCCGCGAGCGCGCAACGAGGGCGCACATGCGAGCACGCGCGCACACTGGGGCGAAGGGCGAGCTAGGTCTCCTCCTCCTCCTTCTGCTCCTCCTCCTCCTCCTCCTCCTCACGCACTGGCGGCGCACGCGGGTCTGTATGCCCAAGCCGACTAGCACGCCTTTGTCGACCGAACCTGCGCACGCGTGCGCACGCAAACACGACACGACACGGCACGGAACATACGCACATGCGAGCACGCGCGCACATTGGGGGGAACGGCGAGCGAGGTCTCGTCCTCCTCCTCCTTCTCCTCCTCCTGCTCCTCCTGCTCCTCCTCCTCCTCCTCCTTCTCCTCCTCTGCCTGCTGCTCCTCCTCCTCCTCCTCCTCCTTCTCCGCATCCCCCTCCTTCTCGCGCGCTGACGACGGACGCGGGTCTATCCGCTGAAGCCGACCAGCACGCCCGCGGTCGCTGCCGACGGAACCTGCGCACGGCAAACACGACGCGGCACGCCCGGCGAGCGCGCAACGAGGGCGCACATGCGAGCACGCGCGCACACCGGGGCAAAGGGCGAGCTAGGCCTCCTCCTCTTTCTCCTCCTCCTTCTGCTCCTCCTCCTCCTCCTCCTTCTCCTCCTCCTCCTCCCCCCTCCTCCTCCTCTTCCGCCTCCACCTTCCTCCTCCTCCTACTCCTTGCTCCTCTTTCTCCTCCTCCTCCTCCTCCTCCTTCTCCTCCTCCTCCTCCTCTTCCTCCTCCTCCTCGCGCACTTGCGGCGGACGCGGGTCTATCTGCTGAAGCCGACCAGCACGCCCGCGGTCGCTGCCGACGGAACCTGCGCACGCGCGCGCACGCAGACACGACACGGGGCGCGCGGCGAGCGCGCCACGAGGGCGCACATGCGAGCACGCGCGCACACTGGGGCGAAGGGCGAGCTGGGTCTCCTCCTCCTCTTTCTCCCTCTGCTCCTACTCCTCCTTCTCTTTCTCTTCCTTCTCCCTTCTCCTCCTCCTCCTCCTCCTTCCTGTTATCATGCTATCCTATCATTATTCCTATGCTCTTCCTCCTCCTCCTCCTTCCTATCATCTTCCATCTCCTTCCTATTCTCTTCCACCTCCTACTCCTCCATCCTGTTCTCCTCCTCCTCCTCCTCCTCCTCCTCCTCCTCCTTCCTGTTCTCCCCTTTCCGCAGGGCATGCCTGACAGTGCCTACCTGAGCTCCCCCACCATGGCCGCCTCGATCGGCGGCGCCCTGGCGTACAAACGCAACGACGACTCCGTAAGGTCGGGAGAGGAGCCGCACTCTATCACGTCCTTCCCCTCCTTTTTTGCTCGCCCCCTCCTTCCCCTTCCCCCCCTCCCCTTTCACGCCCCCCTTCCCCCCGCAACGTCGCTGTCCTCTTTTTCTCCCCCTCCCGCACCCTCCTCCTCCTGCTCCCCCTCCTCCTCATCCTCCTGCTTCTCCTTCTCTTTCCTTTCATCCTCATCCCCCTCCTCTTCCTCCTCCTCCTCCTTCTCCGTGCCCTTCTGTGGGATCCTGAGTTGTACGGGATAAGATGTTCCGCCCGCTCGCTTGCTCACCATGCCCGTGCAGCCCAGTACCTTACAGCGCTGGATTCAGAATAAGTCCCGAGATTGAGAGATCATGTTCATGATGTGACTACTTCAGTGCCCCCCAGAGGCTCAGGAGTCTGCATGATGTTATATTGTCTTCCCTTCGTATCTATCCTCGGCTTTCGTCAGTCTGCTTGAGAACTTCCACGTTCTGGTCTATATACCGTCTATCCCGTCGACCTTCGCCCCGGCCTACAGAGTGACAGTGCAAAGGCGTTCCTTCCTCGCTTCCCCTCTCCTCCCTCGTCTGATTATCTGAGGGCTCGTCTGAATTCTTCACGCTTCGCGTATCCCCACCAGCCCATCTCAAAACAGCAACTCTTGCGAAGCATGCCGACAGTCGTGTTTTTCAGGCGTGTTTCCG